TTCAACTTTGAAACATGATTTGCTGTGGTGCACCAAGCATGAAACATTCAACATTTCAGAAGGACTGGTGCAGATTTAGTTGTGATGGAGAAAAACATATAACATTTTGTCTTTCTGGTCACTTAGCACCAAAGCCACAAAAGATAGCATAGACAGGGGTGAATGAAAAATGTGGCACATACTGTACATTGGCAGAGGCAGAAGGACAAGAACACGCAGCATCCTGTAAGCAAGCACTCAAAGTTATAAACTCTCATGTCCTATAGATAACCAGATTAGTTTTCATGTACATATTTCTATTTTTGGACTACAGCTCCCACTTTTTGACTTATTAGCATAATAGGGGAGCTCTTTTTTGGGGGAGCAACTTCACTTTGTAACCAGATTAGGCCACTTCTGCATGCTGAAGCCGCATGGGACGAAACACCATGGGATTACGAACAGAATCCAACCTTTTCTCCCTGTTGACTCCATTAGCAAGAGGGCTTATGTAGCCAGAATTTTACTAGACCAAAGGTAGGGAACACATGGCATGTGGGCTATAGGTAGAGATGTCCCTTTGTATTACCCCCAAATTACTCCTGCTGAAACACACTTTTAAGGAAGGAAGAAAAAATGGCAACTACTGGATGCCTCCAGCCAAGGGAAGCAATCCTCCTTTATAACAAGGTAAGCTCCCCTCTCCAGTGCCTTATTTAAAACCCCAGAAGGAAGCATTACCTAAGCAGAAGTGGACAACCAGTCACTTCTTGCTTTGTCTTTTGCAGGAGTTCCAGCTCTAGGGGGCTAAAAATGGCCTCCCAGATCCTTGATGCTTGCCTGTTTCTGTACTAGACTGAGGAACCTGGGTACATGGCTATTTATACTTTTGCTAGGCAACCTGATACCCCACTGTTTCTATGGAAAAAAACAGGTAAGGGTCCTCTGTTACTGAGAAGGCACTATTTCTATCACAGCAATAAGGTCAAAATACTCAACAAGATGCTCAAAACTCTTTTTCTTCACTATGTCAGTAAAAACAGGCTGGTAGATATTTTCTTCTTCAGGCTGAGCAACATATTCCCAGAATGATGTGACTGTTGGTGCCTTTGGAAAATGGAAGCTGGCACCAATTTCCACAGTTCCTTGAAGGGAATCCCTTCAGTACTCTGCAAATTTCACCCTGTCACAGGCAAAGATTTTAAAGCAGAGGCTCTGTGGCCTATGCTGCTGTGTTGGTAGGAGACTGAAAAAAAGGGAAACTGGAGCTAGATTGCTTGAAGTACCCCATCACAGAAAAATCCTAAGACTCTAGGAACAAGACACATTTCTAAAATCAGGAGGAGGCAGCCGATTCCTGACCAGCAAACAATTCCAGTAGGCATAGAATGGCATAGGATGATGGGCACTGGAGTCCAAAAATATCAGGGAGAGACCTTGTTGCCTACTTCTGTTTTGCAGAAACAGGATCTGTCCCCAGTGACTGTTAAGACTTTGTAAAATTCGAAGTCCCCCCCGGCTGTAAATAAAGTGGGAAAAGGGTCCATTTGAGGGCACAGTTCCTGAACTGTCAGCTGGGCCAAGTAGGAATACTTGTTAGTCAGAGCCTGATTAATGTGAAAGAATCAGACAAAACTAGTGAAGATGGCCATGGACTGTGAAAAGGTATTAAAGATGAAAGGACAAAAATGGGGTTGAAATAGAAAACAATGCTCTGATTCAATACATTCCTTTGGGCCTGCGTATCCTAAAGGCTACCTTCTTGACTTGGTGCTGTTAACAACTCACTGTATCCCAGATCAGGTTGATTGCAACAACGGAGGCAGCTTTTTAAACAGGGGATAACCCTAGCTGTGGAAGACTCTCTCCAAAGAAGGCTTTATTTTCTTGTAGGCATCAGGTTTAGATACTGTAGAACATTTTATTATGGTGATATTTCAGGTACTAACAAATACAGTTCCCCAGTTTTTTGTTTGATTCAGATTGATTCAATTGTGTACATTTTTTATGTTAAACCTCTATTATTTCATAATTTATTGCTGTGATTATGATTTAAAACTGCATTGCAAACTTCCCTGGGGGGAAAAACTTTATAAAGAGCTTGTATAAATGTCATAAAAGTAATTAATCGATGCAATGGAGCAGATTTCACTAGTTTCCACAGAGACAGAATTCCATCGGTGTAGTATATAACTTAGCCCAGTGGTTCCCAAACAGTGTGCCGCAGCACACCAGGTTGCCCCCCAAACCCAGCTGGGAGCACCACAGAATCTTCAGGCCAGGCTTCCCCCCTCCCTTTTCCTCCTGTCACCCAAAGTATCATATTGGGAGAGTCATAGCCAGTGGCCAGTTAGGTAAGCAAGACATGAGTCAAAAAATTTTTGGGAACCACTGACTTAGCCAGATGTCTCCAAATGATCTAGCTAAAAAAACCCTGCAAAAGAGCTAGCTTCTCTGTAAAAAGGATTTCAGAACCTTCATCCTCAGTGTGACACGAATACTTCGATTAAAATGTAAGTCATATTTATCACACATCACAGACTGCAACTGTGCTAGTTTAGAAAAAAAAAACAAATTTTCATTCTTACTTTCAATGCTTATATATTCATCCCAGTCAAATTGTGTGCTATTATGTGTACTGTTGTCTTCAAATGTGTTATTAAATAGGTAAGTATCATTTGTAGAATTGTCTGGATTCCAGTACAAGCATTTATGCCTCAAGTTTCCCATGAACAGCTGAAGCCCTATTAGAGCAAATACACTCAGACAAAATACAGTCAGAATCATAACATCTGACAGCTTCTTCACAGACTGAATGAGGGCTCCCACAATCGTCTTCAGGCCTGTAAGCAGAAAAGCACGGTTAGGATTATGAAAATAATGTAATTTTAAAAATACCATGGGCTAAAATTCAACTGTTTGCCTCATCTAAAGCAGACCCACTGCATCAACGGGACTTGCGCAAATGGTGCTTAACACATTCCACTCATTCGATTGGTCTACTCTTCTTGAGACTAACAATTGTATTGAGCCCAGTGTGATTCAAGCAACATAAACCCACCTGATCCCAACCTCATGCAGAAGCCCAAATAAATAGCATTGATATTTTGTGAACAAGAGCTTGATATGGTTTCATCACTCGTGAGGATGTATCTTGTGAAGATGAAGTCACTGGAAGTTTATGTCCATTGCACTGGTGCATGAAAATGTATTGCGCTTAGCTAAATACCAACTTGTTTTAATAATAAAACAAGTGACTTTGTTATCATCATGCTTTCTATTAAACCCCCACAGAAAGAAGAACTCTTCCCAAGCTTAAAAACGTTATAAAAAGGAAGTGTCACTGAAAGCAATGTAATTAGGCCTCTGATATACACACTTGAAGTGGTTATGGTGTGGGGTTTTTTTCCCTTCCAAAATTACCAACACTGTACACCCCAAATCTTTTATAACATGATAGAACTCGTGATAGGGCTCAAAGCTAAGTGAGTATAGGTAGTTAGGAAAGATAATAAACTTCCCATGCAATTTTTTAAATTATTATCTTAATTGTTTTATGTTCAATAGTGATTCAGATATTTCAGTACATACAATAAAATTCAGATATTATTGTCCATCAAAAATACCAGAAACAACTTCAATTTTATATCTTTCATGTAAAAAAAACATACAGATAAAAGAACTTCACAGTCATAGTTGTGCTTTTGTCATAGCTTGACCTCAAAGCTTGACATTATATGATGCAAATAACACACGCTATATACTGCAACATCTCATGCAACAATGTGTTAAACGCAAAGGCTGAATTCAAAAGTAAATAAGCAAATGGCAAAAAGCAAAGGATCACAATGTTCATTTCTCTCAAAACATGATTCCTGCTTTTCCTGCTTTTTCTTTTTTAGATGAGTGAGCAAGCAACAAGGCTTATGGTGAAGAAATGTGGTTGGAATTTCCATGGAGTCTGAGAGTCAGCCTCTGTGTTTAACCTCGCTCTCACCTGGAATGACTGATATTGTTTTCAATGCCCGGAGAACTCTGAATGTTCTCAACGCTGAGACATTGCCCAGGTCCACAAACTCTGTCACATATCTGTAATAGGGGAGTTCACACACAAACACAATGACAGGATAAAAAGGAACAGTTGGGAGGTACAAGGGACCTAACATCTTACACCACTTACTTCTTACCTGGGATTACAGAAATAGTTTTCAAAGCTCTCAATACTCTGAAAGTTCGAAGAGCTGAAACATTGCCTAGGTTTACAAATTCTGTTACATACCTGTAGAATTAAATCACAGTTATTCAGAATTGAGGCAGACTTCATGTACTCACTTGAGGGTCTTCATGAAGGCCCCCCTGGGTAACTTTAGTGGGAAATTAAATAGCAACAGTCAGATCTTTACCTTTCACTGAAGTTTGACTTTCATTAAGATCTTTCAGCAGTGATTGATTAACATTAAAATGGTGTTGGACAAATGAACCACAGTGATTTTACTATTAAAGTTCTAATTAAAGTAACTTATGTAACTAAACTGGCAAGGCTGGTCTTCTAGAAGGAGGGGGAAAGTGTAAGACTGGAAATTAGCTTCTATGTCAGTACCTGCACCACTAGTGTACCAGGCATGCCACACTACTAGCAACTAGCAGTTCCTTTACTAGCACACCATATTTCACAGAGAAACAAATCCAATGTAGCCATTATAATGAAGTCAGGCAAAAAGGTGCAGTAAGTGATGCAGTTTCTTCACATGAACTTCTTTAGAAACAATCTTGATTCATTTTGAGTGTGTAGTTACAAACGGCAACACGGTCACAGAACAGCCTTTTATCTGACGTGCTTCATGTTCACTCTTACCCAAAACACAAGTTATGTGTTGTTGACTTAAAAATATGCTAGTACCTAGACGTATAAAAACCAAATAAATAAATAGAGATGGAATTGGATCTAGCTTTTCTAAGAGACAGCGATAGTGAATCACATCCAATCATTGCTCATTGAAGGATTTATAGTCTCCAACCTCTGATTACTAAATGTACATTGACTTCCATACATTTATACGTCATAGAATTAACCCATGCAATCAGAAAGGCACGGGGGAGGAAAGAACATAAAACTTACGCAAATGTAATGACAGTGAAATCAAGCCAGTTCCAAGGATCCCGGAGGAAGGTGAAACCATCTATACAAAAGCCCCTTGCAATTATTTTTATAAGTGATTCAAATGTATATATTCCTGTGAATGTATACCTGAAGACAGCAGATGAAATAGTCATTGTTCATTAAAATTATGAATTTAAAAAAAAACATTCTCAGAGTTAAGAGCTCTATACTGGATCTCACCAAGGGCCCCTTTCTAGGGTTGCACAGAGCTTCTACTTCACCCATGTGCCTCTTTCCCAAATTGGTGGGTAAGTGAAACAGCGTTCAGTGTGGAACAAGCCCATGCTGCATGTTCCACTGTCCAGAAACAGAGATGATGTAGGGAGCGGTGGCCAAACAATATTGTAGGCTACCCATACATGGCCATCTTCTTCTCATGTTACCCTGGTTGCATAAAATATATTGTTGTGGTTCCCAATAAGAAGGACTAAATCCAGTCTAGTTCATCATTCATTTTCCAAGAAGGCCATTAAGATAATAGCATTCTTTATTTGTGCCCAGGATTTTCACTTTGAAATGTGAAACAATTTTAAACATGGAGATAATGTCTTTTGATAGATCTATCTTTAATTAATTGACTTACTACCTACTGCAAAACTGTCTAGCTAGTGGCATCACCACAACATTGTGGTATTAATTAGATGTTCTGTGAAGAAATGCATCCTCTTGTCAGTTCCAAGCCCACTATTAGTAAATGTCATTCTATGGACCTCAAATTTTAGTATTGCAAGAAAATGAAAATTCATCCTGTTTCCAGTGGCTGGCCTTTCAAATAAAATGAAGGTTGAATTGGACGCATGTAGATCTGTCCTCATTAAATCACTGAGTGAAAGCCATGGACTACGTGCAATTTTTTAGGTCCAACTAGACTCAACTCACTGGATAAACAAGTTCCACCGACTCAGTACCTCTGTTCTAGTCAGGACTAATTCCTGGATTCAGCATAGTCCCTAGATGATTATAAGTATTCTAAAAATTATATCCATTCTAATAGAATTAATTCCACTAAATAACACTCAGACATGCCATTTAAGAATAAAATACAACTTACTCTACATTCTTTGTCCACTCTGGAGGGTCACTTAGGGTCATGAACACGCAGTTGGTCAAAATAGTGCACATAATGAGCATGCTGAATAATGTAGGTTATATCATTAAGGAATATACAGTGAGAAATGATACAGCTATCGACGAACAAACCAGAAAATTAATTCCAGCTTTGTTTCATTATATAGATACACTTGTCAACGACTGAAATCTTGTTGGCATACCGGTAACTCCACATGTGAAAGTCTGATGCCATCAGCCATGGCCTATTCTCACTAACTAAAGGTTTCCAATCCCACCCCCACCCTCAGTTTCAAGGCTCCCTAAGGGTTCTTTTAATCTTAGGGAAGCCTTTGGTGGCCTTTGACCTCCCTTAAATCCCAAGGTCCCCAATTTAACTTGATTTAGGTTATTCTTACTTTGACAGATTCGATGCTGATTTTATTAACATGTGAATATAAGAAACTGCCTTACACAAAATCTGACCATTAGTCTACCTTGCCAAGTTATCAGCACTGCCTGTTAGTGATTCTCTAACATTCCAGAGAGATTTGTTCCATTTTACCTGAAGATGTCAAAGTACTAAATCTGAGACCTATGTGCAAAGCATCTAGCTTTCCAAAGCTTGGAAGTAATGTTGCAGATAATGAGTCTTTGTAATTAATTTATGTGTATGTGTGTAAAAAATAATTAAGTAATATTACAACTGCAACCTGAAAAGTGATAACTTTACTCTTTTTTGTAGCATAATTAAAAGTTGTTGTCATAGTGCCAGGGTGCAGTCTCACTATTAGGGATTTCTAAAAAGAAGATAAGGAGCATAACACAGTAGTTTAACAGAGACTGTTTTGATGGAAAAGCTGTGCTATACACTCATGTCCACTGTGCAATATTGGTGCCATCCATTTCCTTGCAAAGTGCTGCCATCAGTGTGTGGATGCTTGATGTAACAAAGTGAGGAGCACCATGTGTGTGAACCACAATAGAACCAGAAATACCTGGAGTCAGATCTCTTTTGGTTCAAGTTACCGCCAAATTTTCAAATTCAATTACTGTAATACTAAAACTGAATTGTTTATCTCCAAACACAAAATATGATCATGTGATGGCAAGACAAATTTATAACTTCCAAACCAATCATACCTTATTCTGCAAAATGTGTCCTGTTCAGGATCCTAAAAGCCAGGATCCAAAGGTGTCAGTGAAGCCAGTAGCTCTAATATAAATGAAGTGCTAGTGAATCTGTTCTGGCTTTTAGTCTGAACTTTAAAGGGATTATCCAAGGTGCTGAGCATATCTCTAAAATACGATCAACATTTTTGATAGCTCCTTAAAGTCTGGACTAAAACGCAGAGTGGATTCACTGCTACACTGACATCAGAGCCATCAAACTACACAGGAGTCAGTCCATCAGTGGAATAAGGAGGAGAACATTCTTCCCCCACTGCAGCCCACCACAGGCCCCTAAAGTCTGCTCTGATTGGCAGGGAAACCCTCTAAAACAAATGTCCAGATGGCAATGAAGACTGTGGGAGGGAGGACAGAAGGAAAATCCAACTGTATCAGCAGAAATACATTAGAGCAACATTGGATTCTAATCAAACTATGCTTTTCCTAATTACATTTGCATCCTATTAATAAGCAGCATGATATAATTTGTATTAATAAAATATGTGTCACTAGTACATACTTAATGCATATTATAAATTTGCCTTGTAACATATCTATTGACTTGCATTTTGAAGTGTGTGTATGTGTGTGTGTGTGTGTGTGTGTGTGCGTGTATTTACTGCAGGAAGGTAAACAAAGCAATTGTCATTCTAAATATTTTACTATAATATTAAAGTTAATCTAGCCAAAAGCAAAGATTTGTATAGTTGCATTTCATTTAACAGCATTGTTAATCAGGAAGAGAAAGATAATACATACGCTTAACTCTGTTTCACTGATCTTGGTGAAATATATGTGTGTGTACATACAGTACGAGTGTATATGTGTAATGTTGGTTAGATTCTTCAGTAATCATATGTGTGTGTGCATACAGTACGAGTGTACTATACTGTGTAATGTTGGTTAGATTCTTCAGTAATTTGTGTAATCTCACAGTGACCACAGATTCAAAAACAACCATCCTGTTTCATGTCAATGAATTACTCACAAACAAGGATCAATTCCTGTACATTCAAGAAAGAATCAGATGTCATTGTTAGCACATAATTAGAGCTGAAGATATGACAATATTGGAGAGTGCTGATCAGGGCACATGAGAAAACTGTTTCTATACTGAGGTAGTCGTTCTCATCTGAAAAATAGACTGCACAGGAATCCTGTGTCAAGACTAGTCACAACACTAAGTTAATTTGCATGTCCTAGAAGGGAAAGAAACTCTTGATGCTCCTACTTAAATAGGCCTAAAGGATTTTCCTTTTCTGTTCTCAGGTTATCTGTAACACCTGTTTCAGTACTTCATAATACACATTCTTTGGTTACTAAACCTGCCATCTTAAGAACAGTCATCTTGATGTAAGATGAACTGAAGACAGTGGAAGTGATGTGTTCGTATGGGGGCTTACACAAACCACCTCGGGTAGGCAGATGCGACCTGTGAGCCATGCTGTGTGCATGTTTATAGTGCATGCAAGTAATACAAATCCCACCTTCTGTTGTCTATCTAAAACAAAAGTTTAGAAGAAACTATTTTGAATGGGGAGTTGTCAGGTATGCATTGTCTATCACACTGTTTGCAGAACGAGCAATGAATTTGCATGGTATGTAAATGAGGCTGACTAAATTTGGGAGCAGAAAACTAAAACCTTATGTGTAGCCCAAAACAAGAGGCAGCTTAGCATCTCATAAGTGACAGATAACTGATGTACTGAACTACCTCCTGTCATCTTTTGTTTAAAGGCTGACCTTAACTTTTATAGTTTTCCACTGTAAAGTGAGAAGCCTTAATATGGAGCAGTGCAATAGCCATTATCCTATCACTGTTCCACTGTAACAATGTTATTTGGTGGGGAAAAACTTACCCGACAATCATCCAGAAACTCCTCACGAATACACGTACAACAGAACATTGCGTATGATTAAATCAGCACATCTGTACAGAAGCAGTGTATATAAATTATAGATATAGTTCTATTCACGTGTTCTAAGTAGATTAAGTAAATATTCGTGTTCTAGCCCCAGGCCCTCTGATGTCACGACCATCATGTGGAGAGCAGCAGAGGGAGTCTGCACACAAACACAACTCAGATTGTCACTCTCCCTGCAAACAAGTTAAAGGAAATTAGCAGTGGTTTGTTTTAATTATGCATTAAGCAGCCTGCTCCATTCCAAGTCAATGAGGTCTTGTTATCCCAGAGGTCTAGCATGTTTGGTGCAGTTCTCCTACCAGTGTTCTGACAGAGAGGCTCCAGTAACCAGAAAGTCTCATCCAAGATTGAGGGAGCCACTGTGCCCGACAGACAGTTCACTGATGGAGGAGGGAGGGATGGCAAAGAGGGTCTGCTGCCTGCTGACTCCACAGTAAGCCTGGCTGAACCTAGAGGAGCCTGTCTGTCCATTTGCAGACAGCTACCAGACAGCAGCTTGTGTTTTCTTGCTTGTGCCCCCTCTCTGAATAATATAGTAAAGTTTCTCTTACAAATCAGCAAAATTCAAGGATGAGAAAACCTGCCAGTCTAACCCGATAGTTAAGACTTCCTTCTGCTGGCTAGGGCACCCTAGGCGTGACGGTTCAATATACATGCTGGGCAAGCAGGAACGAGAGTGTGCTGTGTCAGAAATTGTGCTTGCTTACAATGTACCTTCCATACCCTCACATGTTGCCTTGCTCTTTTAGACTCAAATAGAGATGAGGAAGGCAGAGTGCCAGCAATGCCAGACGACAAGCAAAGATGCCCCGCCTCGTTCTGGTCCTGCATTGCCTTAGGAGGTATCTGAGACTTGCTGTATCCCAAGAGGAGTCTTCCTGTGAGTTAACCAACACCTGTTTGTTGCTGACATTGCTTACTGGCATAATTCATTTGAAACAGAGGTCTTTTCTACTGCAATAGGAATGTAACGGGTTACTCCTGTTACTGACTTAGGGGTGGTGGTTGCAGCTGTGTTTCCAACTCAGGCTGATGGAGCTAGGAAAGTGTGTGGCCAAATTTTTTTGGATTTTTTTTCTTTTGTCACCCCCACCCCCACTCCCACAGTGCCTCTTTTGTTTCTCTGTTTTTAGCATGCCAGTCCTTTTGTTTAACAGGAAAAGGGAAATTCTCTTTCATATCACTCCGTTTTTGGTTTCCCAGTTGCATTTTCGGATTCTAGCCCAAATTACTAGTAGGCATCCTTCAGTCTCGAAAGACTATGGTATCGTGCTCCGTTCTTCCTGTGAGTTAACCAACACCTGTTTGTTGCTGACATTGCTTACTGGCATAATTCATTTGAAACAGAGGTCTTTTCTACTGCAATAGGAATGTAACGGGTTACTCCTGTTAATGACTTAGGGGTGGTGGTTGCAGCTATGTTTCCAACTCAGGCTGATGACTGATTGATGGAGCTAGGAAAGTGTGTGGCCAAATCTGACTTAGGGGTGGTGGTTGCAGCTGTGTTTCCAACTCAGGCTGATGGAGCTAGGAAAGTGTGTGGCCAAATTTTTTTGGATTTATTTTCTTTTGTCACCCCCACCCCCACTCGCCTCTTTTGTTTCTCTGTTTTTAGCATGCCAGTCCTTTTGTTTAACAGGAAAAGGGAAATCCTCTTTCATATCACTCCGTTTCTGGTTTCCCAGTTGCATTTTTGGATTCTAGCCCAAATTAAGCCATACAGAACATTTAAACATTGCTCCAAAAAAGCAACGGCGAGGCAACAGAGGCTGAAATCTAGTACTAATTCACAGTTAGAGTAGGCCCATTGAATCAGTAAGTCAACTCCTCTGTAAGCTCTACTGATTCAACAAGCCTATTCTAGTTGTGACTCACTATTAGATTTCTTAATGACTTAGGGGTGGTGGTTGCAGCTATGTTTCCAACTCAGGCTGATGACTGATTGATGGAGCTAGGAAAGTGTGTGGCCAAATTTTTTTGGATTTATTTTCTTTTGTCACCCCCACCCCCACTCGCCTCTTTTGTTTCTCTGTTTTTAGCATGCCAGTCCTTTTGTTTAACAGGAAAAGGGAAATCCTCTTTCATATCACTCCGTTTCTGGTTTCCCAGTTGCATTTTCCGACCATAGCCCAAATTAAGCCATACAGAACATTTAAACATTGCTCCAAAAAAGCAAAGGCGAGGCAACAGAGGCTGAAATCTAGTACTAATTCACAATTAGAGTAGGCCCATTGAATCAGTAAGTCAACTCCTCTGTAAGCTCTACTGATTCAACAAGCCTATTCTAGTTGTGACTCACTATTAGATTTCAGCCACCTCCGACCATAGCCCAAATTAAGCCATACAGAACATTTAAACATTGCTCCAAAAAAGCAAAGGCGAGGCAACAGAGGCTGAAATCTAGTACTAATTCACAATTAGAGTAGGCCCATTGAATCAGTAAGTCAACTCCTCTGTAAGCTCTACTGATTCAACAAGCCTATTCTAGTTGTGACTCACTATTAGATTTCAGCCACCAAATCAATATACTTCAAAAGGAGGCAACACTACATGGGACAGAAAAATCACAGGTATTCGTTTATATTATTACATTTACACAGCCCAGTGGCAAATTGGCACTGTCACAAAGTCTACCCCATTGGCCATTCTCCCTGAAGCAAACAATTCCTCTAAAATATACACCTTTAATAGTATAAACACACAGTAAATTAACAATTTTTAGAAAGCAATCAACAGCAAAAGCACACATCCACACAAGGAAAAAATAGGAAAAAACAAAACTCTTCCAAAAACTGAGAAAAGCAAGGAAGCAAATAAAGACAAGAAATACAACCAAGGCTACTCCCTAACCAAAAACTCTAGAATATGGTGACATTTTCCTCCCCACTAGCACTTGAACTTTTCTTGGCTTCAGCAAATACCATCAGCAGGAGGCATCAGCAAAAACAATCCAAAGAACTGGGGCAAAATCCTCCAAAAACGAATTCAAAGTGTAAAAAAAGAGAAAAGGATTCAAGACAGATGCACAGAATCAGGCAAGCAGACAGCATAAGAAGATGGTAGGCACCAGGAGCTCAGCAGCACACAACAGTCCCACCCAGAAAAATGACTGAAACAAAAGAGCACCCCTCACTAAGTTCCAAGCCTTTACATAGATCAAAAATTCTGCACACCCTCCTCTTCTGGATGTCACGACTGGCTGCTGACGGTCCTCCTTCGTCACACCATCGTGTCTTTGCATTAGCCCTTGTAATATTATTGGATGAAAAAAAGTATCAGGTGATGTAACACAGAAAGGGTGAAAGAAAGGTTAGACAGACAAAGGGTGAAAAAAAAGTTTAAACAAAAGAAGGAAACATGAAAAGGCATGAAACATTTGTGTATCACTCTTCCGTTAATACAAATTATTAGTGTTTTATAGGTTGTCCTTCAGGTCTCATGTTCTTTCAGGTATCACTGAAAGAACATGAAAATGATAAAAGAGCTTCTTTTTGTCTCGTTTCCTTTCATATAAACACAAAAGGATAAAGCTGCTAGTAGGATAGTCCCTGCCACTAGTCTTAAAATGCCAGTTTTTTTTTAAAAAAAGTAATTGAACCCATTCCAAGATCATTGGAATCCTTCAATGTGGTTTAGTCTCCTTCCTGAGATTAAGTACCACTGAACTAACTCTGGACTTCCTTTTCTTCAAATATGTAAAGGATTGCTCTTTCGATGGCTACACTTAACTAAATCAATGCTGTTGTCAAGATCCTTTTGTATTTAAATATTTAAATTTTCTACTTTTAGACAAAAAACTAATCACCAAGCACCTGAGCATTCCACACTGACTTTGTGTGAAGTCAAACAAATAGCTGGGCGACAGCATCATGTACTACCATAATCTAGAAATACAAAGACAGTTGAAAGTTTTCACATTCTACTGGTTTAAAACAAGACCTTGTACATAAAGAATGGAACTCATCTTTGTCCAGAACAGTGGTTCACAAACTTGGGTCCCCCAGATGTTCTTTGAATGCAATTCCCAGCAATCCTGGCAAGTGGTGAAGGCTTCTGGGAATTGCAGTTTAAGAACATCTGGGGACCACAATTTGTGAACAATTTGTCCAGAGGACCTTGCATGCCTGCCTTTAAAGCTATTGCTGATACCGAGATCTGTGTTATCTGTTCATGGCAGAGCTCTTTATGCAGGTCATAGTGTTTCCCACCTACAGAAATGAAATTGGCAAGGCATAGTATATGATGTAAGCAAGTGGATTCTATAATTTTTTGCGGCAGGGTTATGATGATTATATTTTAAAATTTGCCAACATGGTAACTCCAGAAAATATGGAAAGCATCACCACCACCATCAAATTATTTGAAATGTCACCGTCATGTGCATTACAATGAACAATGAGAAATAATTGTGGTCAAAAGATAATTGAACAAATCATAATTTTCAGTTCCTGTCTTAAGGAAACAACAGAATTATTTCAAAATAATTATTTGAAAAGGATATGAATGTACCAAAATCTTAATAGCTATTTTTCTAAGAAGGTTGAAAGGACTTATTATATATAGGGCAGGGGTGGCACTGAATCGGAAAATTGCCTTCCCTCTATTCAATACTATAAAAGTCTGGAAGAAAAAAGAAAACATGAAAACTATTTTAGCATTTGCGCAGTTCAGCATTCATTTTTCTTTATAAATTCTATTTAGTGATTAAAATGCAATTAATCTACAAGCGTCCTTTCTATTAAGAAACATAAAAAGAAAACCTAAGTGTAATGACTTACCTTATTGTAGTACAATATTTGCTTGTTTACTTCAAAATTATTCTTGCGTACCTACATGAGACCTTTGTAGCAAATATACTACCAATGTATACTGTAAAGTTACATTTGAAATGTTTCTTTGTCATTTCAAGGTCACAATATTAATTTTAAAAAATGTATACCTTGATGAACAGAAATATTTCTCTTCTTCCCAAGGAGTAGAAATTTCTTCTCTCTGAAAATTTCAACTTGGATTTAACAACAGTAATTATGAAGGGAATAGTTAATTCAGGAGCCTCCTTGGTATAGTTGTTTCTTCTATGTGCAATCAGTGAAGGGACAGTACTGAAATTCATAATGACCTAATCTGGTATATGGAGCTGTCCAGCTTGTACGATAAAGCAAGGCCTTTTCCTCCCCAGTTGGTCTTCTGTTGCTTCAAATATCAAAAGAGATTTGGTGCATGTGCATGACCATTTATTCAAAGCCATCAGATTTGTAGATGCATGAACAAAACAGGACCCCTTTTTTCCTGAAATCATTCTTTGACCAGATCACCAGGCCTCATAGCCTTTTGTTTGGGTATCTTCCTTAGCTGGGCTAATTCTTATACTTGGTGTTTCCACTTATCCTGAACTTCCTCTGAATGTTGTCTGAGAACGTTTACAAAATGATTCGTAATGGAACCAAGAGAGAGTTCGTCTACTGGAATCTCCTCGGATGGAGGTGGCAGACATTTGGCACTCTAGATTTTTTTTTGGACTACAACTCCCAGAATCTATTACATGTGTTCCCAGTGATAAGAGGATTGTGGGAGTTGTAGTCCAAAATATCTGAAGTGCCAAAGGTTTACCAACCTTGGCCTAGGACCTTGCTACCTGAAGGACCACTTTTTCATCCTTCCTTGGACCAACATGTCTGGAGGAAACTACGTAGGTAGAGGAAGGCTGTCCAATAGGAACATGCCCAGAAGTTGAATTGCGCAGAAGAGCCCTTCCTCTGCCCCCTGCTGCTCTTCAAGGTATGTCTGGCATAGATGTGAGAGAGGGCTTCCTCTGGGGCTAAAATTCCAGTCCTAAAAGGAGTTGTTTAACTTTTCCTAACCACTTTCTGCCAGCAGGCAAAATCTTTACTGTTATTCTCCTGCCTTTTGGTTTTGCTTCTCTCTATTCATTGGTTGTATATTGATGAAAAGTTTTATTTAAGAGACCAGTATTTTCCTAGAAATTTGTGCTTACCTATTTTACATTGAGAAATTTAAATAAGGATTAAGGAAGCTCCATCTTTACATAAACAGCCCAGGCCAAGCCCATAATCATTTGTGTTAGGTGTTGCCCTCTATGGGAACAATTTAATGTGAAGACTTTACTCTTTTCGCTTTTCAAAGCTTTCCCTGGTTATGTCTTTAAAGGTATTAAAAAGTGAAATCCTCTCAGGATGATAGAAAATAACTGGATAGGCACAATCTCCAGGTTCTGAAAGAGTGGAAGCTACACCGGGCTTCTGCTGGTGATAAGGTCGAAAATGAACTATTGTCTATTCCAGGATATCTGGAATATGAAGCTGGTCTGTATGAGCAGAGAAGGATGACGTCTGTTTGATGGAACAGGGCAAGACCTAGACACAGGAACCCATGCCAATTAGAAAGGTGGAAGATCAGGTCTGTATCAGCACAGAACACTTGCTAACTGCCTACCAAGACCAAACCAAGCAGCTCCAAGATATGAATATCTGATTGCCTGTGTCAGAGCAGCGAACTGGACAGGAACTCCTGAATCAACAAGCAATGCATGGAAACATCTTGCCTTCATACAGAAAAATTGTTGTTGGTAAATAATAGAGCCATCCAGGTGATCAATAGTACTGGGAAACTTTAAAAACAGAAGGTAAAAAAGGCAAAGTAAATGGCAGGATCTGGTCCATGGAAGAATAAATCACATTGTAAATTACATAGGTTGCAGGTAGGTACACTGCCAATTGCAATGGTTATTACTACAATCAAATAATAAAATCCAAGGGACACTGTTCATTTCTATCCTGTTATTCCAGGGACTTACAATGACATCTGTGATATGACATAGGTCTGTTTTAGGACCAATCCATTCATATAGCTAAATAAGCATAGGTTGGTCAAACGAATGAGAACAAGCTTTGTCATGTTGGACTCATCATGAGACTGCTTTCTTACAAACATGATGTGCAGCTTCAGTACACATGTACAGCGCAGCAAAAGTCAAGTGTTGGTACAGGGCAAGCTGTGTTCTTGGGGAAGCAATCATCACCAGGTTATCCCAGCTCACATTCATCAAACCACCAGAATAAGTGGCCTTTACAGAAGGAGCAACATGGGATACATCACATTTCAGCATATCTGACACAATGTAAAGTCAAAGCACGTAATTTACATATTGGCTAATGTCAAAGATACTGTGATTGAGTTCAGATACTTTAAAGTGTTATTTTAGATTTTTTTTTTTTGCCTTGTCCGCCCCTTCCCAGATGATTTTTCTCAAAAAAGAATTGCTGGAATACAGGTTTTCAGTGATTTTTAGTCATCAACTTCCCTTAAAGCATACATGACATAGTCCAGGAAGTATAAGCATTTTTTCTCACCCCAAAATACTCATTTTTCAAACCTGACAGATCATAGGTAAGAGATTTCAAAAGGAGGCTTCTGCAAAGTGTAGCTTGTAGACTTGACTGCAGACAAACAAAAGGGGGGGGGGAAGAGACCAGAATAGATACTGCAGTAGAAAAGGGACAAAATAAAGTGCTTGATAGGAAACACTCACTTTTTTATTAATATAATATGGGTCCAGGTCTTCCAAAGGAGTAGCCACCATTCCAGGAGGTATGTCTCCATAAATAAAGGGCAGTGTTTTGCCAGCCTCCAAGTCACTACTTGGCTTTGGGCCATTTTCTTCGTCGTCTTTATGGTCTTTTTTGACTCCCTTTGCCTTTTCTGCAGCAATACGTTGTTCAATAGCTGCGAGAGACTCTCTAGTGAAGTAGTGGAAGCTGTCCGGTCCTGGTGGTACAAGCACTGGTGGTTGCTCCATCTTTTCATCCTGCACATTTTAATTACCAGCTATTCTTTTGCATAAGGAAGTACTGAAAGGAAAGGTCCGGGGGATGAGGTGGGGAGAAGAGAAGGAAAAAGATTAAGAACAGACATGACTAAGGGACAAATACATTTTTATTGATTTTTATTGGTTACGTGAATATTATGCAAATATGCTGCCTTGTTGAAAATGATAAAGACTTTAAGGGAGCACCATCTATCAGCAGGCATTGTTGTTGAGCAGTTTGCTCCAGGCTGGACAAAGACATATTGAAACCTGAGGCAAAAGACAAGATGTCCTCCCCCATTTCCATGTCCAGAAGGAAGATGGATGGGCCATTGAATTTTACTTCAGTGCCAGTAGGCTAATTTAGGAGGTGCAGGACAGGCCCTAGGGCTTATCCAGTGCTCTCTTCCAAAAGAGAGGGAAGACCAGGGAGTTCATCAGCAAGGGCTGGGGAGGCTTCTGCAAATGCCCCTCAGCCTCTGCTCCCTCAGGCAGTTGCCTCTGTCCGTCTAATGGTAGGGCCAGGCCTGTCTCCATCCCTTTCAGTGAGAGCTGTCTGAGGTTAGGGTTGTTATTTGTTTCTGGCAGGGCTTCTGTACCCTAATGGTGGCATGACCAGCCAAAATTGATCAGCTGAAGGTTTTCCTGGCATGCAGAGTCAAGGATGGAGAAAGCATCCCTTTCCGAATTTTTGCTTGTTGTGCAACTGTCAAAAGATGTGGGAACCTTACCAGCAAGATCCTCTTCGAAGCCCACTCAAATGAATGGGGAAGACTGACCAACAGCTAGGAACAATAGATTGAGTCCTAAAATAAAAACTCATTTGCTTCCTGATAAGCCAGCTACAGTACTTACATTAAAGCACTGGTTCATTTTATAAGCTGTTTATTCATTCTTAAAGATGCAAACAAGCCAAAATGTTCCTACTGGAGGGCATCCAGACAAAGTATTTTGTTGCAAGCAGCATTTTATTAATTATGAAAAATAAGGCAATTGTTGTAGTACAGAGTCTTAAGGGAACACATTGGTTAATTACAAAAGGGTCCCATTCAGCAACTTATCCTAGTGCTTGATTTCAGCTAGGTGAATCCTATGATGATATTTTCAGAATCAGGTCAGAGCAAAACCAGAAATGGTTCCCTTATCTTTTACTGTATAAACCGCAGATGGGAAGGAATAGGAGCTGATAGTGCTGTGATGGGGCAGAGCACCTTTGCACTAATCTCATTAAAATCCCCCCATCTGATGGAACTCCTACAATTTGGTACTGTACTTCTAAGCATACCTGCTCACTATAATAATCAAAAGCAATATACTGTATGTTTTTAATTTCCTGGTACCTGAATTGTTTCAGAAATGTCTTGAGGAATATATGGACTTGAAATATTGTCATAAATACAATGAAAATCACCATGGCAATGAGACAGGAGGGAAAGAAGCCCAAATGCTGCATCTTTGGTGCTGCTGAATGGTTTTCTGACGTTTGTAGGCATCATTTCTAAATATGTATCTGGACAGAGAGTAGAGAGAGTGTGTACATGCATCCACACGCAGGCATGCATGTGGACACACACAATTCTCTTACAGACACAAAAGCGAAGCGCCTGCAATCTCCACCCATTGGCAGGGTGCCTTGAAGGAGGGCTGTGTGATTGTTAGCGCCAGACTTAATTCACTGGGCAAAGGGAGAAAAGAAGAATGGTGGAGAAGTGTAAAAGCAAGAGCCGAGAAGAAGGGGGACTGATACCCTGAACACAGAGGGAGAAACGTGGGCTATTAGGAGAGAGCACAGGGTCAGTTGGGAGGCGAAAGGGAAGGTAAGAGGAGAGTGGCATTGCAGAAGAGGAAAGAGGGGAGACCAGGGAGAAGAGGGGAGGGGGAGGAAAAAGGAATAGGAAAGGAAGAGGGGAAGAGAAGGAGAAAAAGGAGAGACCTCTTTCACCTTTATGGGAGAGGAGTTTTTTTTTTAAAAAAAAACAATAAATGGATCACTCAATGAAAAATATATAAAACTGTACACAGAAAGGTCACAGAAGCAAAGTGTGAAAAAGAAACTGAGTGGGAGAGAAAACTGCCCTTCCTAGTAATGAAAACATTGTTCTATCTTAACATGTCAACAATAGCAACAATTTGCAGAGAAAATTTCTCTCAGTCACAAGTCTTTGAGAAGAGGAGGGATAGATTTGTCTAATGGTAGCAGAAAAAGCTCTGCATGGCAAAAGCAAAAATAGCAAAAAAAAAAAAAAAACGAGATTTGTCTAATGGTAGCAAAAATAGCAAAAAAACAAAAACAAGAAAACAGCTCACTAATAGGTTCTTAAGACCCTAATGGTTCTTAACACCCTTGCAGAGTAAATAAACTATGCATTTCAAAGGTTTGCTTTGATGACATCTGTTCATTGGATGAATCTCCATATACTTCAGGTTTAACTTCTGAATCTAGACCTAAAGAAATACTTAGAGGGATCCCATTCAGAATGGCAATACTGTAACAACTTTTCCAGATGTTGTGAGTGAAAGCCAGCACGGCACATTGACCTTCATCATAATCTGTAATCTGAACTAACCTTTCAAAAGGGGACAGCAGTTGTTGGTAGCAGCCTATATTTGCTTTAGGAGTTCCGCAGTCCCAAAAAGTAACCCAGTTACATTTATTAATTGTTTTAGAAATTCATTTATGATAGATGCATTTTTTAAAAAATGAATCAGTGTAGGTTAGGACATATGATTGCTTTTGGCTAAATATTGAAAAGTGCATTAAAATCTCAAACATTGTTTTAGAAACCAGCAAATTAAACATGAGCTTTCGTTAAAAATATAGTCTAACCTCTGTACTCACCACTGCTCACTGACCATGGGACTGCAAAGGATGCCCTAGAATTTTTACCAGACATGTGAAATACCTATATGTGTGCTGGCCACTTCCAATCTTATATAAGACCAATACTGTTTGGAGCAAGCATTGCATCCATCCATCAGAATTCCTAGCCTGCCTTTCCCATAGTAAGCAGGGTTTGGAGGTGAAATTCAACCGCCACAACAGTTATTTTGCAGAGATCGCCTCCACATTAAATGTACTGTATACATATAACTTCTACTTAATCCTCTGATTCAGATTGAAAGCTCTGTGGGTGATAGACACCCATTTGGTCTACATATCTGTGCTAGTCACCATATATACATATACAGTAAAAGCAGCAACACACTTGTTTCAAACAAATAAGCATTACAGTGGACCCTTGACTTACGGAATTAATCCGTATTGGAACGGTGGCTGCCGCAGCGACACACTTGTCTCAAACAAATAAGCCTTAGTTGCTTTCATCATGCTTTCATATATTTTGATAAAAAACAATGTGGGAAAAGTACGAACAAGTCAGTTTATAGGGGCATGTTTCCACTGGAATTTTCTTTGCAACCTTGCATGCTGTTTATGATTTGTGTAACTGGGAAGAACATTTCTGAGCTGGGATGATTGCCTATCTATCCAGCACTAACCAATTGTTCCTCCCAGTCTTTGAATCAAAACAGAACCTCTGCTGAGTGCTTTTACCCTCTATTTAGTCTGTTCATTATGCTTTCATATATTTTGATAAAAAACAATGTGGGAAAAGTACGAACAAGTCAGTTTATAGGGGCATGTTTCCACTGGAATTTTCTTTGCAACCTTGCATGCTGTTTATGATTTGTGTAACTGGGAAGAACATTTCTGAGCTGGGATGATTGCCTATCTATCCAGCACTAAGCAATTGTTCCTTCCAGTCTTTGAATCAAAACGAAGCCTCTGCTGAGTGCTTTTACCCTCTATTTAGTCTGTTGCTGGGAGTTATTTGCTGTTGATCCGTTCAGTTGGTTGCTAAATACATGTGTGGTAAATAAAGCAGCACAGAAAAGTCTGTAATTTCAAATAATGTAAGTAAATAATTTTTTTTCTATTCTTTCTCCTACAAATATCTCAGAGTGAATTATTAAGACTTTAAGTGCCAGCTAATGAGAAAGGGGTGGACTCTGGGGAACCTGTAGCTATTCTCCTCTGTAGATCTTGGTACTTTTATTGCATAAAGGGAATTTTACCAGAAATTCAAAACTCTACAGCAGGTCACAGGCCCAGAGAAACAGGCAAACCGTTAAAATATTTTTGGGCGTTGTTGTTTTCTGAAGTGTTTGCACTTTTTCCTCTTCCCTGCTTTCTATGTTTTTAACCAAAACCATCTCATAACTGCTGAAGAGTAAGAGTTGTTTCTTTTTCTGAGATTCCAAACCAAATTTACTCAGAAAGAGAAAGAAGAAAAATGAATCTTAATTACAAGGCATTATTTTGGAAACCTCCAGAGTTAATTCTCTGAATTTCTCTGGAATTATCTGAATTTCTCTCCATGGAAAGGGAGGCTACAGTTTAACCTCAGAACTTTAAAGATGCATTGTTGTTTCAAAACAACAACAACAACAACAAAACAAGAGACACACAGGGCAAATCTAAATGAGATAATGAGGATTATATAGGAAAATCAATAATTTCACAAAGCCTCTCAGATAAATTGGTAGACAGAAAGCGGAATTTCTTACAGCATTGTTGGGCGAATGTTTTGATGCTTTTATATCTTTCTAGTATAGCAAACAGCTAAGTTTCCATGAGTGTTTGTATTCTTAGAGGGAAGAGCACACAGACCAAAAAAGATCCAGTGAGATCTCAAATCAAATCTCATGCTGTATGTGAAAGGCAATAGGGGGGGTATATCTCACAGTCAATCATGCAGCTGCTGGAGTTGTTGGAAGATGGATCACATGGCAAAGGATTGCCCGCTCCCAAGAGATTTCTCAACCAATGAAGCTGTACTAGTTTTAAATCAAAAGAAAAAAGGAATCCCAGAAAATATGTGAATCCTGACTCTAACAGAGAGTTGAAAGGAAGGCTGGAAAGAGATTTAAACATAAGGCATGTATGCTCCATAGTTCTGAACAAAAAACATTTTTTTATTCCAGCTAATGACACCTATCAGTCACAGTGACAGATAATCTCTCCCCCTTATCATAACAATACAT